TAGGGCCTAGTTTACACGTAAAGTGTCAAACTTTATGTGTAAATAAACATCCATGAGAGTTTTAGGGCTCAAAATGCACCAAAAGGGTAGATCTAGGGCTTACATGCACTATGATTCCATAAAGGCAGCAGATCCAAGCTCCTGGAGCTCAATCATGCCTAGATCTAGAGGCTAAACAACTTATCATCCACTCTAATACACAAACAAGCTTGGGGAAAGGTTCAAGAAAGACTTTCATGGAGCTACAAGGGACAACAAGCATAAAAACAGAGAGAAAATGAGTTATACCTCAACGAAATCACTAATATAACACCAATAAGCCTAGCCTCCTTCTTCTATTCTTGATCTACTCTTCTTTCTCCTCAAAAACTTCAAAAACACACCCAGAACACTTCAATCTCACAAGGAAAAGGGCAAAAACGATGTTGGGGGCTCTGAGGGTGAATGGGGGCGAGCTTGGGGTGGAAATGAGGGTTTAAATAGGGTGCAAACCCTTGAAATTTAGGGTTTCATCAAACAGCAGTGACTCGCCGAGTCCAGAATATGGACTCGCCGAGTCGCTAACTTAAGCGTGCCCCCGGACCGCGTCCCTACTCGGCGAGTCGGACCTACAACTCGCCGAGTCCAAGGCTAAAATGACAAATACTTAGATAAATTTTTACGTAGCAGGAACCAGGTGCTACACATTTGTTCAAACTTAAAGGTACAAATTTTGGCAAATAAGTAAAACAAACTTATATCAAACTTTACGGTTCCCATGACCAAAATGCATTTCATATAAGGATTTTGAATACCACATCATATAAAATGGAGTCATATCACTCTTTGTGAAAAACATAAAATAGTTAAATTTAGCATTCAAAACCATGTACAAGCATTCATATAGTTCATATGTAAAACTCATAAGGTTCGAATTTATAAACTTTGTAAATTCTTGAAATAGTATTATTTATGTATTATCTTACTTAATTTGGGAACCTACACTTAACTAGTGGGGAAAACTCCTCCCATATACATATCATGTTTTCGTACAAGAACAAAGGGTTTATATAAATGACGTTATGAGGACCCACCACCCCCACTACCTTGTCTGTTACTGCCTCCTATGCCATTGAGGCCATACTATCTGCTACCATGATAATTCCAGCCACTACTGCGACCATTAGAGTAATCAAAATTATGATTTCCATGGTTGTTGTTGGTGCTAGAATTGGTGGAGGAGATGGTTTGAAGCTCGGTATTGAGGATAGTAAGAGAGGACGAGTGATCATGATGTACTGGTGGGGTTGATGTGAGGCGAGCATGATCTTGATTATAGATTGTTCTGCGAGAGTGAGAGTGGACTGTAACACAAGGAAGGTGGGGTAGGGTTTGGAGTTACCCAAAAAAAGTTTGATATGGACAAAATTTTGAGACAGACCGTTGATTTCATAGGTTACCAGGGTACATTCTGGGACTAGAGATCTGATGTTAGTGAGAAGATCGGAGATGGACTTCATACGAGTGTAATATTCCAAAACAGTTAAGTCACCAATAGTAATATTTCTTAGTTTGTCATTAAGTTCAATACCCTTCTATTCTTTGTTTTCATGAAAGAAACTTTCAATGTATTCCCATACTTCCTTGGCGGTGCCATCCATGTTGATAATAACTTGAAGAACTGATTGAGTTAGAGTTCCATAAATCCACTATTTAACTATACTATCAATAGTTTCCCACTCGGGATCAATAGTGCTAGATGAGTCTCTTGTTAAGGGATTATACACCTTATACCAAATATATTTTTTCTTAAATAATTTCTTCCATGAGTCATAGTTTAACCTATCAAGATCGAAAAGCAATGGAACATAGGATTTGATAATTGTGACATCGTAGATACGATCACTAAGACTGGATTTCGGGGCCTTATTTTCTTTAGGCATGATACAAAGAGAGAATGAGTAGCAAGATGAACGAGATAGAAGGTAGAGCATTACCAAGATGGCTATCTAAATAGAGCAGCTTCATTGGGGAAGAATCAACGATCAAAGTGTTGGGTCAGCCATGACTCAATTGATGTGTTCAATTTGAAGTCTTATGTCATCATCACAAATCGGGAAACTGAGAAACAAAATTTTAGACAATAAGATTGCTTCTAATCCATTTCTCATGTCAATATGATATCTAGTAAAATGGATGAATATTTGATCACTTATCTTAGGACCAATTTCTATTAATTTCAAAGTTCAACAGTTGGTATGGAAGCACTCTTTGCTGTTTAATTTAGAAGTTATACTGGTAATTACAGTTATAGGCTTATGCAAGTGAGAGACTTTTGGATTAAGTGTCTAAGCCAATAACTGAATTATTATTATCTTAAATTATTAGTAAAGTCCTTTTGGGTTGCCCTTAAACCTAATAATTGAATATGATGACTTTTAGAGAGAGTGTCTGATTTATTGGTTTATTATATGATTAATAAATGAATTTTTTAATATGTTATGGAAATAATATACTAATTAGAAATAATAATAATTAATTAATAATTAAGTAGATTAATTTTGGAATTAATTGTATTAATTAAAAGTGCAAGGGTTAAAGTGCAATTGTTCAGTAGTTGAACAAGAAAGAGTCCAGAACTTTCCTTGGAAAGAGGTGGACGAAATTAGGGTATTCTAAGGTATCTGGAATATTCCTTGCAGATAAATAGGAAGCCGTATAATTACCAAATTGAATCAATATTATTTTATTCATTTAGGGTTATCTAGGGTTTCAAGGTTGCACTATAAAAGGATCCCTTAGGCTACAATTTTTGGCCACTTGATCCTCAAGAGCTCTAGGCTGAAAATTTAACATCCCCTCTCTTCTTTCAAAAGTTTCTTGTTACTAGTGTTAAGTGTGAACCATCAGACGCAAGACATTTATGTTGCTAGCTTCCAAGTTATTGAAGAAAGGATTCTTGATTGTTACTACAACAATCAAAATGTATGTTTTCCTTCTATATTATTCAAAATTACCTAGGGTTAGAGTGTTCTTGTTGTTCGATAGAATGTTACATCAATAGTGTTATGACTTACATCTTTAGGTTGCGTGTACCCTTATGTGTTAAGGAATTATCCATGTTAATACATGTAAAACCCATCAATGATATTATGTGCACATGTATATATTGAATAAAAGATAGGGATCCCAAGAATGAAGATTGTCTGGAGTTTTTGCATGAAAATTGTAGAGATGACAGAGACCGGTTAATTTGTTACTAGAGTAGAGATGGATGGTTACTGTATGTGATTGACATATGTGTGACTAATTAGATAAGAGAAGTAAAGAGATAATAATTAGTTTTATGTATTATATGTTGTTTATAACTCACCAGACAACATGTCTGATATATATAATGTCCATGTTTTTAGGTGTAGGTAGAAAGTCTTAAAGAGAGTGCACTTAGAAGCATCAAGAACATGGATTGGAATTTTGTTTCATGCATTTATTATTGTTGCCTTAAGTGTGGTTAAAAAATGTTTGGTTCGCCCGTATATGTTTTCTGAAAACGCATTGAAGATTTTGAAACTTTGGGTTTTTAAACAATGTTAAATACTCTGATAATTTCCATAAAATTTGTGTTGAAATATTATTAAAAGTATGGGTCATTACACTTGAGTCTTCAGATCGCTTCTCGAGAAGCAGTTTTTGTGTACGACTGTTAAATGATGTGTAGGTGACTTTTCTTACGTCCGAATCAAAGTAGATTTTAGGTCAACTTGTCTTAATAAATAGACATTTCCTATATTAATGTAACCCTAATACAAAAAATATGTGTAACAACAATTATTAATCAAAATTTCTCTTTATTTTGTCTAGACATGCATAGCTCAGTTTAAAATTTTGTGTGTTCTTTATTTCTGTTTGTATTTTTAATTGTGATGTGATTTTATTTTGTGTGTTTATGAAATTCCTTAATTTTATGAGTTGTTTCGATTTGTCCCATACAAGTGGAAAACACGAAACTCAAAGAATATATGATTAGGACTTATCCTCTTGAATTTATTTTGATATCTATTGCTCCATAGGCTAGATGGCATGGTAATATTTTTACCATCGGTATGCGAACTTGGCTACCTTTATTGACGGTAAACACTACCCCACAACTCTTTTTTAGTCGGCGACATTATACCGACAATAACCATCCACCGACGATAAAGTGTGAAGCAAATGATGCATGTTTCATTCTTTCTTTACTCTCTCTCTCTCTCTCATGAGAAGAGAGTGAAAAGAAGCCACATCATTATTTTAACCAATCCGCTAGGTTGTGAAAATGGTTTTTACTAGTGAATAGGTGGTGAAGAAGAGAGAGATAGACACAAACAAATGTTCCACCAATCACAACACTCGTCTTCTTCCACAACTGGTACTACACCACGAGACACTGGTACTACACCACAAGACACCCACCCATCTTTGGAGCGGTGTTCACATGTGGCTTTCTATGCCACATAAGACATCACGTGTAGGGTGATGCCCCATACCAGAAGGTCTTATATTTATCAATAAACACCACGCTCTAACCTTTTTAAAAATAATAAAATAAAATAAAAAACGTTAATATCAATGAGTTGGATATGTCATGCTTTCAGCACGACAACATTCAACCTTAGAGTTCAATAATTTTAACTTTTTAAGTAATGCAATAGTTAACATTTTTGAAAATTATATAAAATAAATGTTAGCGTTATTTTATCATTATTTGATCTATGCTATTAATTAACAAAAAGATATTATTGTTATGTTTCTAATTTCATAATATTAAAATAAAAGTTATGAGTTATGTATTATTAAAATAATAAAAATATATATATATTTTTTATATTTGAGTGTATGGTTAAAATTAAAAAGTATATGACTTTTAAAATCATTATTTTATTATTTAGCGTGTGTTTTTGTTATAGTTGTGATCCTGGTTCTAAGTATTTTTATTAACTTTTGTATTTTTAATCAGAAAATATAAAAATAAAATGTAAAATGAGAAACCATATCCTCTTGCGTCTCGTCGTTTATGGTTTAAACGGCAACTAAATGCCGGATTCATCGTTGGTGACGGTGGATGAGAGGAAACAACAAGAATTCTCTTGTTGTTGATAACACCAAGTTTGATTTGCTTATTAGAAAGACCACGGCGTTTGATTTTTTCATATTCAATCCCCGCAGACTTTATCCGTTGCTTCCACTTCTTATACTATCATGGCTAACGGCTGCAGTTATGACGTGTTTCTAAGCTTTAGAGGCGAAGATACTCGCAATTCTTTCACGGATCATCTCTATGCGGCATTAGTGCGAGGAGGACTTCGCGTTTTTAGGGATACTGATGAAATCAACAGAGGTGAAGAACTGAAGCCGGAAATTAGGAGAGCAATCATGGAATCCAGGGCTTCAGTAATTGTCTTGTCGGAGAATTATGCAACTTCCACATGGTGCCTTGACGAGCTTTGGTTGGTTATTGAACAGCGGAGGGAATGCAATCATTTTGTTTTACCTGTTTTCTATCATATTGACCCCATGGATGTTAGAAAACAAGATAAATCTTTTGACATAAAAGTGCAAACTTCTACAAGGTGGACTGATGATAACGTGAATAGGTGGAAGGCAGCTCTTACTGAGGTTGCTGATTTGAAGGGCATGGTTCTTTCTGGGTATGCTTTTATCTATTACTTATAATTTAATGGTTAATGAAAAAGCATCCTTATTGATATATAATATTTTTCTTATTGTTAGTAGTGTGAAATTCCGACAAAAAAGTTGGTTTAGCTCAAAATTTTGACTACGTAGATTCCTTTTATAACACTGATATGTTGCCTTGTAGGGATTATATATGACTGAACTCTTGATCAAAACAACACTGCGATACTACACTTTCTCACAACAAAATTTCTTCTAAATTCTTAATATATTGTTTCACGTTATATTTGACCTAATCACTTCATCAACTTATCTTTGTATCATTTAAAGTTTTGGATTATGCAAGATATGCGGGGAACACTAATATAATGGTAATTGTGTAACTTTTACTTTTTTTAGCAAGGACAAAACGGAATATTACATATTAGGTGGGGAAATTTAAGTCTGCTGCTGGAAAGGGTATAATGGTACAACCCTGAAGTTTATCATACATACATGAAAAACATTAGAGTAGTTTCCAAAACACGTTTTGGCTGATAGTTTATACCCACATATCTAATATACTTTGCTTAATTTGTTTGCTCACATTCCTCGTTTTCTCTGATATGTGATCAAGCTTTTATATTTTCTTCTATATCATCATACTCTTCTAATGTAATTTTTGAATTACTATGTCTCTAAAAGTATGAACTATGATTGAATTTAAACATGCATTAGTTGATTATACATGTGTAATGCTTGTTTATCGCCCACAGTTTTCTTTGGTTGCATCAAACAACTTAAATGCCATGTGCTGAACTTGGTCATTTTCCTTCTATTGTTCCAGGCTTGAAACGACGTTTTTGGCTGATATCGTTCATACAATTCACAATAAACTAGATTTCAAATTGGTTAGTCTTCCACAAAATCTAACAGGGATGGACACTCGTCATAAAGATATCAATTCCTGGCTAAAGCAATCTGAAGAAGAATTTTTGGCAATTTGTGGCATGGGAGGAAGTGGGAAGACAACGTTGGCCAAGTACATTATAGATTCAAATTGGCGAACTTTTGAAAACATTAGTTTCCTTGAAGACATAGGTAGTAGATGCAAAGATTCCCGTGATTTATGTGAGCTACAGGAAAAACTTTTGGGAGACATTTTAGGGGGCAAGAATAGAAAAATACCTAGTGTTTCTCATGGTATGTGTAAGATTGAGGAAGCCTTACAAACAAAAAAAGCACTTATTGTTCTTGATGACATTGTCGAACAGGGCCAGTTAATAGCTTTACTTGGGAATAGCATGATTAATACACAAAGCAAGATTATTATAACAACAAGGGTTCTAAATACCGAAGAATGGCTTGGCCCCAGATCTTTGAGGTGTCGAAAATACAAAATGAAATTATTGGATGACGATGAATCACTTGAGCTTTTATGTCGTCATGCATTTAGATCAAAAATTCCCATGGAAGGATTCGAGAAGCTCACAATACAAGCAATACGTTATTGTGAAGGGAATCCACTAGCTCTTGAAGTGTTGGGCTCGTCTTTATTTGTTAGTGCAGACATACCAAAGACAGATAACATCCTTCACTGGAGAAGTACATTGAAATTATTGGATAGAGAGATTGATTCTGGAATTCAACGTATACTCAGGAGGAGCTATGAGTCGTTGCCACGTTACTCTAACAAGGAGTTGTTTTTGCATATTGCTTGTTTCTTTATTGGCACAGACTTGGATTATGTGGTAAAGATATTAGAGCATGATTACTCAGCATTATCTGGGATTAAAACCCTAACTAATAGATGCCTTCTTTCTGTGTCACCAAACAAAAAAGTAATGATGCATCGGTTACTCCAAGAGATGGGGAGAACGATAGTCAATGAAGAATCTCCCAAAGACCCTGCAAAACGTAGTAGAGTGTGGCTTAATACGGAATCCTATGATGTGTTAAGAAAAGGAAAGGTGAGATGCGTAATATATACAATGTGGAAGCCTATTTTTCCTTTCGCACGATTGCTTTTCATCTAAAAGACTAAAGCTTTGTCATTTTTATGTTTAGGGTTCAGAAACAATGGAAGGAATGGCACTTGACATGCAAATGTTAAAGGAAGAGAAGAATGTATTCAAGGTAATACATTAGTTAAAAATGATGCATTTTCTTTATATGTAAAGAAAAAATTATGAAGATTTTCTTAGTAGATCATAGTTCGTGTAATTTGTCTTTTCTCTTTTGTTTTTGGGAGGGGGATTGTGGTAAAATATATGTTGATATTTTTCTTTGATGGAAAGTTTGTAGACCCTAAATATGTATACCTATTCCTCACCAACTTTGTTGGAAGGATGCAAGTGTGGTGGGTGTAATCAAGTCAATAGGGCACCAATCTTGAGCTCGATTCCACACTAAAACTTGATTGAAGCTCGAGTTTGATGTAGTAATCAATACTTTCGAGCTCAGCTCAACTCGGTATAGTGCTACCTCTTGTCATGCTGGAGATATAGAACACAATGTATCTGAATTTATCTCAGTAATTTTCACTTTACAGCGAATCAGGACCTTAAGCATACTATCATGACCCTTAGGGTATGTTTGGTGCATTTAATTATAGATATGAGGTAATGATACTAATTCTTTTTTTGCTAACTTTGCAGATTACAGAGCTTATGACAGATTCGCTTAAAAACATGGATAACCTGAAATTGCTCCAGCTCAAATTTGTGCAAGTAACCGGATCCTACGAAAACTTTTCAGAACAACTAAGATGGCTCTGCTGGATTGGATTCCATTTAAGAACCATACCTTCTGATTTATTCATGGGGAACTTGGTTGCTTTAGATATGAGCTATAGCTGCTTGGAAGTCTTTGAACCACCCATGGTAGGGAACTATATATCCTCTTCTTATTTCATGGCCTTTTAACTTCTCTATTTTTATGGTCTTTTCGTGGATTTACATACTAAGTAATTCTTGTTACTTTTTGCAACAGATTCTTCCATTATTGCAGATTCTCAATCTTAAAGACTCCCACAAGTTACTCGAAATCCACAATATTTCCCGACTCCCTAATCTTGAGACTCTGATTCTCTGGAACTGCCACAGTTTGGTTCATGTTTGTGAAACCATTCAACAGCTTAAGAGTCTTGCTCTATTGAACATGACAGGGTGTGAAACATTGTGGGAGAATTCATGGAAGATGCAGCATACAAATCCGTTAAAAGAGCTAAAAGTTTCAACTTCTGATGAACGAGTTAAAGGACTATCTACCTTCTCCTTGCCACCTTCATTACAACGGTTATTCCTCAATGACTGCTACCTTGAGAGTACTGATTCTTCTCCTTTGTGTTTCAGTATTCAATCGTTTTTGCAATACTTGAATCTAGGCAATAACCTATTCGAATTCTTGCCTATGTACAATCATCTTAAAAATCTCCGTGTCCTTGACTTGACTTGGTGCTTAAGACTTAAATGGATTCTATGTCTTCCAAGTACACTTGCAGAATTGTATGTATATTACTGTAAGTCATTGGAGAGAGTAACTTTCGAATCATGTCGATTCACATTGCAAGAATTCGGCTATGAAGGCTGTCTTAATTTGTTAGAAATCGAAGGATTTATTAAACTGGTGCCACTAGTCAAACTTGATGAAACTGATTTGGGACATTTGAAATGGCTAAAAGAACATCAAAATCATAAGGTGTGCCTGGTTGGAGATGATGAGCTCACCAAAGGCAGAAGTTTGTGTATCCAGGTTTGCTGTTAGTGTCTCTAAAAATCATCACAAAGATACAAACTGCAAAGTTATTAATATATGAATGCCTGAAATGTGTTGTGTGTGTGGTGCAGATATTGTATGAATTCAACATAATGAGCACTTCTCTACCAGACATAAATGATCCTAATATGACACCTGATTATATATCAGAATCCACATCATTGTCATTTAACGTGCCTTTGGGACCGAAGGATAGGAGGCTTAAGGGATTAAACATAATTCTCAAGTATAAAACATCAGGTGAGGATTGGGCATGGTTCACTAAAATCACCACTAGCAATGGTGTTGATTTGATGTATAATCCCATAGTCTTTGGCAAACCTGCATCTGGTGAAGTTGGTATATGGTTAAGCTATTGGCCAATTGGAAACACATTGAAAGTTGGAGATAGAGTTAATGTTTCTACCACTGTGATGAATGGGTTGGAGATACTCGAGTGTGGTGTAAGCCTTGTGTACACACATGATGATGATGAGGTAGTAAATGAGATCTTGGAAAATGACATGGAATGGGTAAAAATTCTTGGTGGAGATTATTCTGGATTTCAACTAAGAACAGGAGCATATTATCTTTGTCGCCGTGATTTCTTTGAGTTTATCGAGGTTGGAAGACTGACTCCTGATTGGTTTAAGATTTTAGTTGGTGATACCGTTGACTGTACAGGTATACTCTTCTTTTCAAGCTAATTCTAGCCAGTTTCTAATTATATTTTATGCCACAAATTAAAGGATGTTTCTCATATCACACATTGTTGCAGAGATACGAGGATGGAGAAAGACAGGGAGACCTCAGCAGTTGAATCAGTCATTTATAGAATTGAAAACTGTTAAATGCATAGTCCATGCTTCTGAATCGGTAGATTTTTGTTTTAATATTTTGATGTTAGTTTGATGATAAACCAAGATTTGCTTATTCGTGTTTATCGAAACAAACAGGAGCAAATTTACAAGATTGGAGAGATGTCAAAATCATCTCATGTTGGTAAAACTTTGGGGATCCCATCAATGATTTCTGCTTCTGCATCAAAGGTAATTTTACATCAAGCCTAATAATTAAACAGAAAAGAGCTTAGTATTGTCTCACATATGAATTTTACCTTCTCCTCAACTTACAAATTTACAAGCAACAGCCTGAGGACACTGTGGACACGTCTAAAGCGTCTATTACTGAAACTATTGACTTCACATCAAGCTCACTCAAGGAGTCGATGAAATCTGCCACTAGATCTGAATCTAGTGTCTCAGAATCAGAGGTAATATAACATCATCGAGAAATGGTTCAATCATTCAGTGTATTTGATATTTACCCTTTCTGTATTTGCCAAATATACAACCAAACAGTCTGTGGAGATCACATCATCGAGCTTACTCATTAAGGAGATGAAAGCTGCCACTGAATCTGGTGACTCGCCAGCAAAGGTAAGTAGAAAAAAGAGTAAATTACACGACTGGTCCCTATGGTTTCGGGTAATTTGCGAATTTGGCCCCTAACTTATTTTTTAACTTGGAAGATCCTATTGTTTGCTTTTGTTACGCATTTGGTTCCTGTTTTACCTAAAAAGACTATTTTTCACTTGATTTTTTAATTTATTTAAATAAACACATCCCCAATCCCACCCCTCACGTTACCTTACCTATCCCACAATTTTTTCCTATTTAAATAATAGTTTTTTAATGTAAAAAGGGACCAAGCGTGTAACAAAAACAAACAGTAGGGATCAAGGCGTAACAAAAACAAACAGTAAGTCCGAGTTAAAAAAATAAGTTAGAGATAACTCATGCAAATTACCCCAAACCATAGGGACCATTTGCATAATTTTATTTGCTAAAAGAAGGGTTACAAAAACATGTATTCACCCACTCCACTTGTCTGTTCATAAATTTCAGGATCTGTTGGGTCAACTTCCAGTTGCATCTTCTTTGAGCACAGTGGCTTCTCCATGGAAAAAGTTTAGCTGCTTTGATGTTTACTTGAGTTGTGACTACATATTTACCACTCGATTCAAAAATCATTTGTGTGATGGGTTAGTGACAGCAGGAATTCAAATTTCCCCATACTCTCTTCATTTCGTATCTGGAGGTGGATACCTTAGAAACTCCGAAGCAAGGGCATCCATTGTTGTATTGTCGGAGAACTATGCAAGTTCAGTTCGGTGCTTGGATGAGTTACTGTTGATCCTTGAGAGAAGGGCAAAGTTAAATCATTTTGTTTTACCTGTGTTTTATGATGTTGAAGCCTCAGATGTTAGGGGACACCAGAGACTTTTTGCATTACGGTGGTATCAAACTTCTTCTACATGGAAGGGGAAGGTGGATCGATGGAAGGCAGCACTTACAGAGGTTGCTAATTTGCCCGGTTTCCATGTTTCTAGGTACGTTTTATCTATTACTTAAGGTGGTGTTTGGGGTGATGGAATTAGGGAAGAAATGAAATCGTTCATTCCATATAAATGAAAAAAAAAAACTATTTGTTTTCCCAAAATGGAATGGAATGGACCAATTGTGATTTCTGAATGAGTGATTCCTTAGTCCTTACATTTTATTAATTTTAAATACATTGTTAATAGGTTTATTCTTTTTCTTCGACCACATGAAATAGAATGAAAATTGCAATATTTTTTATGTAACATTTCTAGATATACCATTTGTTTTTAATTTTTTTTCTCATTTAAATCGATGTCAAATTTTTATTATTTTGAACATAAGAAAAAACATCACTTTTAGTCTCACTTATTTGGGGTTTAGTGACCTTTTATTATGCTTAAGCTATAGTATTTTAAATAAATGTTTGTTAATTATGATTAAAGCAATATATAAAATAGATTTAAAATTATATACTGTATTTACATATAATATAAAGAATTCATACAAAAATGCTTTTAATTTCTAGATAGCAAGAATTAAAAATGTTCATGGAATATAATGATTCATTACATTAGCTTTTGCTTATTTGATTTCCTTGTATATTCCACTATTTCATTATCCCCTTCCATCCAACCAAACAGGACATAAGTATTGCAAATGAAGTTATAAATTGATGCAATATACTCCTACCCTAAGAGACTTTCTAAATTTAGAATTGACATCATTTTTCCAGGAATAATGAGACGTCTGTTATTAGAGAAATTGTTGGTACTGTGGGGCATAAACTCTATCCCAATGCATTTAGTACACCACCACATCCAACCAAATAAGAACCAAGCGGGATGATGCGGAAAAACCAAGATGGCTGCAGCTATTTGTGAGTCAACGGAAATAACCATTTCCAAACGATGAAGATTCAAAGTGAACAGTTATAGATTGTGATTTGTTTCTTATTATGTAACATTGTATTTTTTTCAAGCTAAGTTTTACGTTATTTTACATTTTGTTAATTTTATTGTGCTAGCTGAATTATGGATCTATAATTTAATGTTCGCCAAACAATGGGAAAAATTAATTTCGGAACAGGCCGACGGTTTGCTGCAGCCATCAGGACAGGTTTGTAGACCATTGAAGAGACAATGCCACGAAGGAATGCGTAGAAGCATGTCTTAGAAAATCTGTAATATCTGATTGTAGGCATGACTCGGTCTCATGGGAAACATATGCATTCATGCACCTTAGTGGAAAATGCTACTTGTTAGTGTTTTATTATTTATTTTAATGTATTTTCTATATAGTGTTTGGCCCATGTATTTGTCAATGTTTGTGTCCCTCTTCATGTGTGTATATATATATATATATATATATAGTGTTGGAATGAGAAGGGGAATCGGAGAATAATCAGGAAACATGGTATCAGATCTTATCCCTAACTTCTTGTTGAGGTATGAAGTCTTGTCCAACATGGAGCACTTAGATCCACAATGGAACACCTTTTTTTTTTTTTTTTTTTTTTTGGGGGGGGGGGGGGGGTGGGGGTTCATAGAGCGTGTGACAAAAGGAATGGATCATCTGAGAAAGGAGTGGATCAAGTGACAAAGGAACGGATCATGGATAAAGAGGTTTGGAGCACCTGGAAGAGATTTGGAGCACTTGGGAGTGATATGGAGCAACGAGGAGACCTTGTTGTACCATATGTTAAAAGGAATGGATCATCTGAGAAAGGAGTGGATCATGGATAAGGAGGTTTGGAGCACTTGGGAGTGATATGGAGCAACGAGGAGACCTTGTTGTGCCATATGTTAAAGGGATGGGCCAAGAAGGATGCTCTTGCACCATGACATTCCTTCTTGAACCATAATGCTCCCTCTTGAGCCATGACGGGTTCCTCTTGCGCCATGAGGTATGCTCTTGCGTCATGCATGGCTACGTCGCACTATGCATGTTCCTATTGCGCCATGGTGGTGTTGTTGCTCCAATCTTGATGTTTTTGGGCTACACTTGAAACCACTTGTGCCATCCATATTCGTGTTGCCCCATGATGGCACAAGATAGACCATCTTGGTCCTTGATGAGCCAAGTATGTTATGAAGTCCTCTATGATGCTTAAGATGGAAGAATGATCAAGAAAATGTTGCATGATAGAATATGATTGGTTGTCACCATTCATGGGCCAATGGGCTTGGCCCATTAGGGTTTTAGGTTTGATCCGTCAAGTATAAATAGGCTCAAAACCCCAGCATTGTAAATTGCAAGATTTCTGTGAGAGCTCAAAATGAGATATAATTTTGAGTGCTTGTAATAGTTCCAGAAAGTTAATAGAGTCCTCACTCTCTCTCTCTCTCTCTCTCTCTCTCTCGCCCGTGGATGTAGGTCACCTTGACCGAACCACATTAAATATTATGTTCACTTGATTTACATTTTCAAATGTTTTATTTTCACAAGTTCACCGAAATTTGTTTTGATATTTTCCTGAAGTGCTTAACTTGTTTTGTTGTCACCTAGTAAATTGGTATCAAAGCTATGGCTCAAGACTGGAGAGTAAAGATCGACAAATTCAATGGGCACAATTTTGGTTTCTGGAAAATACAAATTGAAGACTACCTGGACCAAAAGAATTTACATGGACCATTATCCAAAAGTAAACCTGAAGAAATGAAGCAGGCACATTGGGAATTGTTAGATCAGAAGACACTTGGTGTCATGAGATTATAATTGGCAAAGAATGTTGCATACAACATTATCAATGTGAAGACTACTCATAAGTTGATCAATACACTATCTAACATGTATTAAAAACCTTTAGTTGCGAATAGGGTTCACTTGATTTGAAAATTGGTAAATTTGAAGATGAAGGAGGGTGGCTTAGTGACTAATCATGTTAATGAATTTAATTCAATCTTTTCAAGGTTGATGTCAGTTGATATTAAATTTGAAGATGAAGTCATGGCATTGCTATCATTATCATTTTTGCCTAAAAGTTGATCCGGTATAGTGACAACAGTTAACAGCTCAACTAGGGGTTCTAAGTTGACATTTGAAGGCATTCACGATTTAATCCTTGGTGAGGATTTATGTAGATGGAGTGTCGGAGAAGCTTCAAATAGTATTCTAAGTAATGAAGATAGAGGAAGGGGTCCAACAGAGGATGTTCGGGAAGTGGAAGGTCGAATTCGAGAAGGAGAGGTGGACTGAACAACAGGAGAGACGTGACCTGTTTAAACTACAAAGAGAGTGGTCATGTCAAAAGTCATTGCCCAATTCTCATGCCAGATAAAGGCTAAAAGGAGATGAATATGGCAGAAGATTTTGAAGGTGATGCACTCATATGTTCAGTTGAAAATTCAATAGAAACATGGGTTTTGGATTCTAGTGCATCATTTCACGCTAGTCACTCCAAAGATGTGATATAGAACTTTAGGCATTACCAAGGGAATGCCAGGCTATAAGATAACAAGTTTTTGGATATCATGGGTGTCGGAGATTTGGTTCTCAATATGACTCTGGCTACAGATTGTACTTTGAAGAATTTCAAGTTCATTTCAGATCTAAAGATTATGTTGAGTTGGACAACTTGATAATCAAGGTTGTCATGTTACATTTGGTGATCACAAGTGGAAAGTGAAGAAGGGAAACTTGATCATTACTAAGGGTCGGAAACATGGTACACTGTATATGGTGGAGGTTTCTGAAGAGGAAGCAAGCATCGTTGAAGGAATTAGAACATCCACGCTATGCCAAAAAAGATTTGTTCATATGAGTGAGGATGGAATGAGGAAGACTGTATCTAGTGGGAGGATGCTAGAATCGAAGAATGTGACAGATATTTCTTAGCCATGTTCTATTGGCAGACAGAAGAAAGTCAAATTTGCGAAGATAGGAAATCCATGTAAGTTTGGGAAGTCGGTTTCAGTTCATTCTAGTGTTTACAGTCCAACTTCATATTCTTTAGTGGGAGGATCCCATTATCATGTAAAACCTATCTTTGGTTAAAGGATATGTAGATGTTCAAGAAGTAGTGGAAGCTCTAATAAAACTAGAAATAGTGGGATCTATGGTGATAAATAAACCTAGAAATATGTAGATGTTCAAGAAGTAGTGGAAGCTCTAATAAACCTAGAAATAGTGGGATCTATGGTGATAATGGTTATAAGGGTGGAGATGTAGGTGTTTCAAAGATCAAACCACATATTATTCAAAGGACCATGAAGCAAAGTACTCCAGTGAGGTATTCTCCATCAACCAATGACATGTTGATGTGTGAGGATGGGTCAAAACCAGAGGCCTTGAGGATAAACTCCATATAGTAGGAAAAGGCTATGGATGACAAGTTGAGTGGACTGTAGAGCAGTAAGATGTTTCATGTTAAGGATAGGATAGATGGTCGTAAAACTTGCAAGGGAAGATTGGCGGTCAAGGGAATATAATAGAAGGGAGTGGACGATTCTCCAGTTGCGAAGATGACTACAATTACTTCTATGTTAAATGTAGTGGCCTCTGAAAATCTCCATCTAGAGAACCTAGATGTCAATACAACTGATATCCTTTATGATAACTTGGAAGGATACATCTTGAAGGCACAGCCAGAAAGTGCTCTTACAGCTAGTAAGAAAAATCTGGTGTTCAAGAAGAAAGAAACCTGTATGACATGAAGCAAATTGTTGGGTTTTGAGCATTCCAACACTCCTAAGTCTATATGCAACCCTATATACCTTGGATCTATGTTTTCTCTATTATACATGCAAATATGAATATTCCAAGGTATTACCCTATCTAGCATACAATCTTTTGATACTTGGGTAATATAACAAGTTAGAATACATACCTCTTGATGTAGCTTGACTCCATGAAGCTCAAGAGCCTAGTGCCCCAAGTATGACACCTCAAATGGTTCACAAAAAATAACCAACACATGGAATAACCATGAGAATAAGACATCTCATGTTCAAATCGGCTAGCCCTCATATATGTGTCACTAGTGCCAATTTCTTGAGCCAAACGGGTCCTTATATAGTGTACACATTAGGGTTACACCATGTAACCCATGACTTTACCCATTCCTTATGCTCCATGGATTTTAACCTCCACGGAGTATCCATGGGTCACCACATGGGTTAAACACAACATAAGGAATCATGGATCATAAGCCCACATATATAAGAATGAATGATTTAAACAATCAATCCCCATATATTTAATTAGTCACTTTTGATCACTAAATTAAGTTCAAATTTATTCTTGATCAATACTAATTATATAACATGATTTCATATTAATATATTAGAGTTTATAATATATTAATACGTCACAAATGTCCTCTCCTCACAAACGGTCTATCCAAATGTATAGATGCCATGCAACCCAAATGGACCATGCCGAGTCGGGTCAAGTACATACCAATTATAGTTATGGACTTAGACACTAATCCAACAGTCTCCCACTTGGATAAGTCTAAAACTATTATTAAGTATGACTTCAAAACCTAACTGGCAATCGTAGCTCTCAAAAGCCGCTGTTGAACTCTGACCTTGTCGATGAACTCAAACCTTTGTCAATGACTTGCCCATTAGATAAGGGATCATATATTCCTCCATTCTAGATATCTTATGGACTGAGAAATGGATTATAAATCATTCTCTCTGTCCATTTGCTGTTTCCTGATTTCCGATTTATGACGACCGACTAATTGAACAAATCACATTAGTCCTGGCTTGGCCAAGCACTTCGGGGTGTCATCACTAATTCATCGAGGGGCCCACATATATCGCTTTTATCCCGAAGGTGAAACGAATGGATAAACTTCAACTCATATGGCTTGTTCTACTACTTGTTAAATCATACACAAAGGCATGTTTTATAAAATCGAGTTACCAATCTGGTTTTGTGCAATCAATGTATAACCAACTCATAGTAATAACTCATATCTCTAGGTTTGAAGAATATAATATATAATCATCTCATGACCACTCGTGATAAAATCCATGAACTGATTTCAATGAGCGTGGGTTGAATCCAATACTCGGAACTTATGACCACTCATGAGTGTCGTAGCACCACTTTGTCCAACATCTTAGACCACTACAAGCTAACCCATGACAGTCTTGATTCATATCTACTTCGAACATATGACCGATTGTGGATGGTTTGAATAACTTAGTCATTCAGGAAAAAAAACCTAGTTATTCTGGAAGTCAAAACATGCAAAGTGAAACACAAGAATAATCGAATCCAATATGGTCTCAGAACTTATGAATATAGATAGCACATCTTTTATTTATCACCATATTGATTACCCATCATTCATTGCA